CCCTGGGCCTATTGCAAAATAGTTTCATTATAATCACTGGGACAGAGCAGATGGGATAAGGCACAGACAGGACCAGGGAGCGGCTGGGGAGAGCCTTTAAGGCTGAGTTAAACCCAGACCCTGCGGGACAAATTCCTGGGGAGAGCCACACATTGCCCAGGGCTGGGTGACATTGCTGGGTGCCCCTGAGGTTGAGTTCTGCTGTCTGAACCTGGTTTGTTCCAGCCTGTAAAGTGACACTCTCCTGGTGCATTAAATGCTCAGGGAAAATGCAGCCGGCACAAAATCCAGTGAGGCTTTGTCTGTGGCCATCTTTCAGAGATCTGATTTCAGGCTGGAGCTGTCACAAATTCCCTCCTCCCCGGAGCTGGGGCCCTCCCCTCGGCTCAGCTGCCTCTGGATGCCTTCGGAGCCCTCGCTGCTATTTGCAGTGCGGACGCGGCATACCCCAGCGGCTGCCGGGCTAAATTTAGGGGTGCAGATAAGAGTATCAGCCTCGGCACCCAGCCCCAAGGGCACTGGGAACGTGGACAGCGGCCAAGGCTCCGAGCAGCCGCTGTTCCAACCGTGACATTTCAAGGCAGCAATTCCCAATTTGGTCACACGGAGAAAAACCACAAATTTAGGTCTTGGAAATGACTTAAACATCAGAGTAATTTCTCTGAACCAGCAGTGTGCAGAAATGTGATGTCAAACCGAGCCAAAGCCACCCTACAATCCTCTCATCTCCCTTGGGACTGGGAGTGCATTTCCAGCCGTGTAGCTGTGCAGTGATGGGGTTCTTCTGCAGGATGTCAAGTAGAAAAGTAGAACTGGGGGTAGCCTTGATATTGTGATGGCCCTGTAAAAAAAGAATTAGAGCTGTGTTCATGGCAAAGGGCACTGGCACAGCTGGGTAGGAAAAATATTATTTTAATGTCTCTGAGAAAAAGGAAAGCAAAAGGGGAAATTAAAAAAAAAAAAATAAAAAGGAAAATCCTCTGCATTTGACCCAGATTTGATAATGATTTGAAAAAAAGACAAATATCACACAAAAAAAAAAAAAAAAAAAAAAAAAAAAAAAGGGGGAAAAAAAAAAAAAAAAAAGCGGTATCCAAATTCCTGCCAAGTGTTTTGAGCCTTGGAGCTGCCTGCAGAAACCTGCCCCAGCCCAGCGTGCCCTGGAACGCGCTCCTGCAGGGCTCTCCGGTTTCCAGCTTCCAATTTCCCTCTCCCGGTTTCTGCCGGGACAAGTTTCCTCCCCGAGCCGCCAGCGGGGCGGGCAGCGGGCAGGAGCATCCCCGGGAGCTCCAGCTGCCGGGCACGGAGGGACCGCGGGACCAGAATCCCTGGGGAACGGCCCAGAGAGGTGTTCAGGAGCAGCAGGGCTGGGCACGGCTCTGGGCACGGCTCTGCCACAGCGGGCACGGCTCTGGGCACGGCTCTGGGCTCTGCCCCACCAAGGCTCGGAGCAGCCGGCTCCAGGAAAGCCTCCCCCAGCCGGATCCAGAAAATCCTCCCCCAGCTGGCTCCAGAAAAGCCTTCCCCAGCTGGATCCAGAAAAGCCTTCCCCAGCCGGATCCAGAAAAGCATTCCCCAGCTGGATCCAGAAAAGCCTTCCCCGGCTGGATCCAGAAAAGCCTTCCCCAGCTGGATCCAGAAAAGCCTTCCCCAGCTGGATCCAGAAAAGCCTTCCCCAGCCGGATCCAGAAAAGCCTTCCCCAGCCGGATCCAGAAAATCCTCCCCCAGCCAGATCCAGAAAAGCCTTCCCCAGCTGGATCCAGAAAAGCCTTCCCCAGCCGGATCCAGAAAAGCCTTCCCCAGCCAGATCCAGAAAAGCCTTCCCCAGCTGGATCCAGAAAATCCTCCCCCAGCTGGATCCAGAAAAGCCTTCCCCAGCTGGATCCAGAAAAGCCTTCCCCAGCCAGCTCCAGAAAAGCCTTCCCCAGCTGGATCCAGAAAATCCTTCCCCGCCAGCCTCTCCTGCTCCCCGCCCCCAGGAAAAGTTCAAAGCAAGTTCTTCGGCTGCACACAGGAAACCAAGGCCAGAAAAAGCCATGAGTGGGAGCGAGGAGCAGCAGCACCCTGGGGGGATGGCAGCTGGGAACAAACCCTGTGGGCAGCCCCGGCCCCACTTCCCTCCACACACAAAACAGCACTGGAGCTGCTTATACGGAAAACTGGGCTCGCCTTTATCCAAAATATTCCCTATTTCAGTCCTTCATTTTCAGCTATTTGCAACACCCCAGCCCGACCCCTCAGTTCTCGTCACCACCAGCAAGATTCCAGTGCTGGCTCTGGAATCCCCCGGTGCTCCATCCCCACGGATCAAAGAACACAGTTCTTTCCTGTCGTACTCGCAGATGCTGCACAAAGGTTGGTGGTTATTGCTTTGCTAATGCCAGTAATAAACTAAAATATCTTGAGCAGAGCCTCTCTGCCTGCCAGCCACAGACAAGATCCCAGCTGAGATACAGTTAATTACATCATTTTCTTTCCTTTTCCACAGGAATGAAATGGTTGCCCCACGATGACAGCTCAGTTTGCCCAAAGGCAGGCAGGAAGAGCAGTGGCTATGCTGGTTTTATCTGACCCAGAGTGGGCTGAGCACTTCTTGTCACAGGCAGAGTTGAGAGTGGAGCAGAAAGGCAGAAAAGGAAAAATATCATCCATAAAGCAGTAGCAAGGCCAGAGAGCAGCTGCTCTACCAAGCACAACACTGAAGTAAAGCACTCGTGCTTTAAAGATGTCATAGGAGGGCAAAGAGCCATTGGACAATTCTGTCTGGTCTGTCAGAGAGGCAAGCAGAGTGCTGTGCCCCAGGAAGGTGAGGATTCAGCCTGCAAACACAGCTTTAGTCCCAGCAGAGCAGCGAGGCTCTGGCAGGGCACACAGGAGCTCCCCCAGCCCTTCCCCAGGGCTGGAACTGCGGATGGAGACCCCAGAGCAAAGCTGGGACGAGCTTTGTCCCCACGGCACACGGCGTGGGGTTTGCTCAGCCTTGGGAGCCACAGGGCGTTCTGTGGGCTTTCCTCACCATTATATTCATCTCAAAGTCAGAACAAAGCTCTTGCAAAGCCCCAAGGAGGAGCCACGGCAGCAAGGCCACTGATTTCTCTGCAGAAAACACATCCAGTGTTTCCCTGCAAAGCTCCCTGTGCCCCTTGGGGCTGAGGTGGCTGCACCCCACAGATGGATCCAGCTCAGCCCCTGCTCACAGACAAAAAAAAAGAGATTAAAAACTCAGCCCTGCCTCAGCAGAGGGTTCCTGGGGCTGTTTGGGGTGCCATGTGCTGCTGGGTCCCTGCTGCCAGCAGCCCAGGGGCAGGAGCAGCTTTGGGGAGCACGGGAGCAGCTGGGGTGTCCCTGCCAGAGCCGGGCACATCCCTGCCCAGGGCTGCAGGAGTAAAGGACAACGTTCAGCCACCTGCACTGGGCTCCCTCTGATGTTCTCCAAGTGAAACTTGACGCTGCTCAGCAAAGACACACCTCTTCCAGGGTGTTGTACAAAATTCTGCATTTTAATGTAGGACAGGAAATATGAAAAGAGCCGGGCAGAACCCAAACAGCCCCGCTGGCCAGGCCGAGCAGCAGGGAGCAAACCAAAGGCTTTGCTTGGCTCATCCATCCACCCACCCGGGATTTTCCAGGGCTCTGGAAGCCGCAGCTCCTCTGCTAACAAGTTTTTAAAGGGTCACACTGCTGCTTCCCTCAGCAGCAGCTCTGCAGAGGGTTTTTTGTTCCTTCCTTCTCTCCCGTGCTGCATTTCCTGACTCCACAGTGGGATGGGTCGCTTGCAAAAGATTCTCATTCCCTCTCTGGGATTGGTTTTGGCCTTCTGGTTCTATTCTGCGAGGGACACTTTCAAACCGGGTAAGTATCCAAAGCGAGTCTGACTTTAGGAAAAAACGACAAAAAGCCACATTTGGGTGTTTTGCGTAGAGACCGGGCAGAGCTCGGAGCACGCCACGGCCGAGCCTTTGTGTGGTGGCAGATACTGGGAATTGCTTTGACAAAGATTTAAAACCAAACTGAACAAGGCAGAAAACCTCCTGAGGGAGCAGGTGAGGCAGGGGGTGAGAGGGAGAGAGCACCGAGTGCTCCATTTCCCCATGTGCAGGAAAAGTTTTATAAACGGGGCTCGTAAGCGTTCCAAGTTTGGAGCACGCACTCAGTGGATTGCCTTTATTACAGAGTTGATAAGTTGTGCCCTGGCTTGTGGAGAAAGCTGCTGGGGGAGCCCAGAGCTGTCCCTGTGTCACTGCAGTCCCGGGGGGATGCAGCAGCTTTTCCAGGAGACGGGAGAGCCCTGCTGGTGTGGCTGCTTTGGGCTCCTTCACCTTCCAGCCAACGCCTGCCCGGAGGGGCTCGCAGCCATCGTGCTGCTTTAGGCGCAGGGCTTTGCTGCAGCGCTGGGGAAGCCACTTGGCCCTGCCTCCCCCCCAGAAATGCTGCGGGGCAAGCGGGTGATCGTGACCGGAGCCAGCACGGGCATCGGGGAGCAGATGGCTTACCACCTGGCCAGGATGGGCGCCCACGTCCTGCTCACGGCACGGACAGAGGCCAGGCTGAGGAACGTGAGTGAGAGCTCGCTCGAGGTCCTGCAGGGCTGCCCAGGGCAGGGATGGGGATCCGGGACAGGGATGGGGATCC